CTTGCGGGTCTTTCCTGTTGTTGTCGGGCGCGTGGCGCTGTTTCGCTGCCGCTGCCCGTCCTGCTGCCTTCGCTCGTGTGGGTTGTTGTTGAGCGTGGTGCGTGTAGCACTGAAACGGGGGCTTCTCTTGCGTGCATGGGGGGGGGGGCGTTGTTATTGGTGCTGGTTTTGTGGGACGGTAAGGGAAAGGTATTTCTTTTTCGGCAGTTGGTGGGGGGAATTTCTTGGTTTTGTTGTGCGGCTCTCCCTTTCCGGGCGGTGTTCTGACTTCTGTTGGTAAACCCTGGCGTGCCAGGGTTTGCCTGTTGAGTCGGTCCTCCGCTTCGGTCGGGGGGGGCTGGTTTGGTGGCGCTATGCGTGTCGTCTGTCTACCTCTCGCTGTGACTTTTGTTTGCGGGGGCTGGGCGCTTCGCCTGCCTCTACTTTGTTCTTCCTTCCGGGGCCTTTGAGCTTGCTGCTTGTCTCTGTTTCGCTTTGCGGCGCTGTTGCGTGGTGCGGTCCGTTGGCCTGGTCGCTTCCGGCAGCGTCAGAAACACCGGGCTGGTGTTTCCGACGCTGTTCTATCCCGTGCTCATTGTCCGCTCTCGGCCCGGAGGGTTGTCTTTTTTGTTTTGGTTGCTAATGCACTGTTCTTGTGTTGCAGCTACCTATCTGCCTCAGTGACCGCTCCAGTGCTCACTCCACCCTTTTGGACCTTCCTATGGTCAGGTGGGTGTGCTGTCGGTGCACCGAGTCTACCCTTCGTTGGTAGTCGTGTTCGGTCGCGGCGCTGTTGCGCTGCTGCGGTGGTACTTTTGTTTGCCTACTTTTTTCCCCTCTCTTTTCTTTTTGTTCTCAGGTGCTGTTCGGTCCGGTGACCGGCTGCGTCCGTGTCGGCGTGCGGGCTTCGGCTGTTCGTCGGCGCCTGCGTCTCCGTTGTCGTGCTGCCGGTTTACTGCTGCCGCCTTGCGGCGGTTGGTCGGTGGCCGTGGGGACTGTGTAGTGCCGGGTGTGTGCGTCTGGTGTTGGACTGCGCCGTCAGCGTACTGATTCGCGCTTCGCACTTAGCTGCCCTGTTGCGCCTGCACCGGCGGTCGGGTGAGGTTGCTTTGCACGGAGGTGCCGGGTGTGTTGCCGCCTCTGTCTTCCGACCCGGCCCGAACTATGCCCATCCTTCGGCATCCTCGGAGCTTGATCCCTCGAGGTCAAAGGTGTTGTCGACGCCATTGGTTGCTGCTGCCGCCATGTTGCCGTCGAGTTCCGGTGTGTCGGGCTCAGGTGGGTCTTCGTAGACCTCGTACTTCGGCACAAGCCCCACGGCCTGAAGGTACGCGAGGGCTGCTTCAGGGAGCTCGAAGAGCAGCGGCCAAAGCAGCTTGTGCCTTTCCCTGGGTGTCGGCTTTTCCCTTGGTGTGTCCGGGATGGCTTTGTGGACCCGTCTCGGCCAAAATTCGCTTTTAGCGCCTGCTCAGTTGGAATTCTCATCGGAAAGTGCGAGATCGTCATTTACTCGTTTCCAGTGTCCCAGGACGGTATTTCTGCTCTCTCAGAGCTTATTTCGCCCGGTTTGCGAAGAACTCAAAATGAGTCCAAAAATTCTCACTCGGTAGTGAACAAAAAAAATTTCCGCCGTTTTTTTAGCCCATGGTCCAGAGGTTACCACACTCACACAGGGGTTTGTGGGTCGGTGGTTCGATTCCCGCCGGAAATCGTTTTTTTGGGTTTTTGAAACAACCCCAAAACCGACCTTTTGTCCATCTGCACGCCAGATTTTGGTCGCCACGCGAGCTGATTGCTTGCCCATAATCGCCAGGGATAGCTCTTTCCATCCCAAAAAGTACGTGCGCTCGGCTAAGGCCGGCGCGTGGCGAGACTGGAGGCAGCAGTTAAAGTTCGGGGAACAGCAAAGTTCGGGCGAAGCTAAGTTCGGGTGAAGCAAAGTTCGGGCGAAGCTAAGTTCTGGTGAAGCAAAGTTCGGGCGAAGCTAAGTTCGGGTGAAGCAAAGTTCTGGTGAAGCTAAGTTCGGGCGAAGCAAAGTTCGGGCGAAACAAAGTTCGGGCGAAACAAAGTTCGGGCGAAGCAAAGTTCTGGGCGAAGCTAAGTTCGGATGAAGCAAAGTTCTGGTGAAGCAAAGTTCGGGCGAAGCAAAGTTCGGGTCAAGCTAAGTTCGGGCGAAACAAAGTGCGGGCGAAGCTAAGTTCGGGTGAAGCTAAGTTCGGGTGAAGCAAAGTTCTGGTGAAGCAAAGCTCGGGCGAAGCAAAGTTCGGGCGAAGTTCGGGTGAAGCAAAGTTCTGGTGAACATTGCATGTTCATAGGACCTCCAGTCTCGAAAAATTCTCAAAAACTTCAAACCGAAAAAAACACTTCGCGCGGGGATCGAACCGCGGACCTGTGGGTCCGGAGACCGCCGCACTGTTGAAGTGGACCATACAGGCATGAAATCCGAAAAACGGAAAAAGCCAACCCCGCGCTATTATCCAGTTCAAAACAATACACTTTTTTAGTGTAGAGAAAAGTGGGGTTGGCTCGAATAGAGGCTATTCACATTGCATGTTCATAGGACCTCCAGTCTCGAAAAATTTCCCAAAAATTCCAAAATTTTGACCCAAAACGGGCTGCTTTTCAGACGGAAAATCTGTGACACTTTTTCGTGGAATGGGTGTTATACATGTACCCTCCCACTCTGGTCTACGGGGCAATGAAAACGCCGACAAGGCTGCAAAATATGTACAGAAGAAACCATCCCCCCTGAAACTGGTTAACCTTGTACCCGTGGACCTCAACTCAGCAAAAGCCCGGACACTGGAATCGATCCGACAATTATGGCTAAGGCAAAGGCCGCAAGGCCATCACTAGCGTTATTCGAGACTGGAGGTCCTATGAACATGCAATGTGAATAGCCTCTATTCGAGCCAACCCGGCTTTTCTTGCAACAATTATGAAACCGTATTGTTTTTGAACTGGATAATAGTTCAGAGTAAGCTTTTTTCCCTTCTGGGAAAATGCACGGGGGTGGCAGAGTGAGCGGGCGCCGGCCTTCAGGCCGGTCGGCCCGGGTTCGAACCCCGCCCCTCACACTTTTCCGGTCGAAGATGGTTTTCGAGGTTTGTTGGGTTTCGGGGTCTTATGTGCCCGAAATTTGCGTTTTTGGCGGAGTTTCTCAGTATCTCGCGGTATTTGGTCACCCCGGGAAACGGAGTCGGGCGGCCGAGCTTGCCATCACAGGCCAAACTGCTACGAGAACCGAACTTTGCTTAGCTTCACGCGAACTTTGCTTCGTCCGAACTCAGCTGCGCCCGTACCAGAATTTAGCATCGCCCGAACTTTGCAGCGCCCGAACTTTGCTTCGCCAGAACTTAGCTTCGCCCGAGCGTTGCTTCGCCCGAACTCAGCTGCGCCCGAACTTTGCTTCACCAGAACTTAGCTGCGCCCGAACTTAGCATCACTCGAACTTATTATCGTCTGAACTTAGCTGCGCCCGAACTCTGCTTCGCCGGGGGGCGGCGGGGGGGTCCGGGGGGGCGCAAACCCGGGTACCAGCGCCAAACTTTTCCCGTACTCGGTGGGTCCGGGGGGGTGTCCCCCCCCGGGCACGAGCACCGACCTTGGCTTCACCGGACTTTACCACCCTGGCCGAACTTCGCTCGTGCCGGAACTTTTTTTTAGTACCAGCGCAGCCTGAGCGCTTAGCACCAGAACTTAGCAACGCCCGAACTTAGCAACGCCCGAACTTAGCATCACTCGAACTTAGCTTCACCAGCATTGCCCGAACTTAGCTTAGCCCGAACTTTACTGTTCCCCGAACTTTAACTGCTGCCTCCAGTCTCGCCACGCGCCGGCCTTAGCCGAGCGCACGTACTTTTTTGTCTCCGCTATTGCTCTACCAATCACACCCTCCTCTACGCCTCATCATCCCATCATCATTTAATCATTCCTTCTTTTTCCTCTTATCTACTCCTTTTTCCCGTTTTCACATTCCATCTCTTACATCCATCACTTCCTCCCCACTCCGCCGCAGCGCTCGTGCGAAAAACGAGAATGCTGGGGCAGAACCGCACGAAAACAGCAGAGAAGCCCCAAGCAAACCACAGCAAGAGGCGACACACGGGGAGGAAACCACCCCCAAGAAAAACGAAAGAGCGTGCAACTGCTCCAGCATTCCCTCCCTGAGCTTCCCCTCTCGGGCCACGGCACGAGCCAGAAAGAAGCTCCCCAACCGGACTTCTAACCGGAGCCGACAACAAGGCACCCCGGAAACCGTTCCTCCTCCCGACCTAACGGAGCTAAAGGATGGCCAGGTACATTCATGTTCCCGATGTTTCCCTCTCAAAAGGCTAAGGCCCAGCCTCCGTTTGTTGTCCTAGTGAGCTCTATACTTCAAAAAAAAAAAAAAAAGCGTGCCACCACCAGGGGATCGATACCCGTCCTGCTCAATGCACACCGGGTGGTCTCCAAGCCCGGTGCTCTGCATCCTGTAAGAACCCACGGACCACGCACGTAGTGTTTGATTCCCGGGTCTATTTTTCACGGATCTCTTCATCGAAGCTGATCGCGAGCAAAATTTTGTCGACAAAGGTCTGCTACGCGGACCAGCAACAGAATGCCACCAGCCAGGGGATCGATACCGTCCGTGTTCAATGCAGGCTGGTGGTTTCTCCGCCCGGTGCCCTGCAAATTGTAAAAACTACTGACCACGCACATAGTTTTCTGTCTCCGGGTCTATCTTTCACGGATCTCTTCATCGGAGCTGTTCGCAAGCAAAAATTCGTCGGAAAAGGTCTGCTATGTGGACCAGCGGGAAAATGTCGCCAACCAGGGGATCGAAACCCGTTCTTCCCAGTGCACACCGGTGGTTTCCACGCCCGGTGCCCTGCATCTTGCACGGACCCACGAACAATGCACATACTTTTTCGTTTCCGGGTCTATTTTTCACAAAACCCGCGATTCTCGCAAAAAACGAATCGAATCCGCACCAGAAGGAAAAAGCGGAGAAACAAAACAAAAAATCGGCGGCGCCTGTATCTCCTATGGTGTAGTGGTTAGCACTCCAGACTCTGAATCTGGCGACCGCGGTTCGAATCCGCGTAGGAGAACTTTTTGCACAGTTTCTCCCAAACTTGGGTCCCAAACTTGGGTCCCAAACTTGGGTCCCAAACTTGGGTCCCAAACTTGGGTCCCAAACTTGGGTCCCAAACTTGGGTCCCAAACTTGGGTCCCAAACTTGGGTCCCAAACTTGGGTCCCAAACTTGGGTCCCAAACTTGGGTCCCAAACTTGGGTCCCAAACTTGGGTCCCAAACTTGGGTCCCAAACTTGGGTCCCAAACTTGGGTCCCAAACTTGGGTCCCAAACTTGGGTCCCAAACTTGGGTCCCAAACTTGGGTCCCAAACTTGGGTCCCAAACTTGGGTCCCAAACTTGGGTCCCAAACTTGGGTCCCAAACTTGGGTCCCAAACTTGGGTTCCAAACTTGGGTCCCAAACTTGGGTCCCAAACTTGGGTCCAAACTTGGGTCCAAACTTGGGTCCCAAACTTGGGTCCCAAACTTGGGTCCCAAACTTGGGTCCCAAACTTGGGTCCCAAACTTGGGTCCCAAACTTGGGTCCCAAACTTGGGTCCCAAACTTGGGTCCCAAACTTGGGTCCCAAACTTGGGTCCCAAACTTGGGTCCCAAACTTGGGTCCCAAACTTGGGTCCCAAACTTGGGTCCCAAACTTGGGTCCCAAACTTCAGTGTGAGAGGGGGTAAACACCATTCTCACACTTTTTCAACAATTCTTACCATTCTCACACGGTTGCAACAAATGCTACCATTCTCACACAGTCGCAACAAATGCTACCATTCTCACACAGTCGCAACAAATGCTACCATTCTCACACAGTCCAAACAATTTCTTACCATTCTCACACAGTCGCAACAAAATGCTACCATTCTCACACAGTCGCAACAAATGCTACCATTCTCACACAGTCGCGTGTACACACAAAATGATTAGAAAGCTACAGGGCAGTGTGAGGTTTAGCTACAAAAAGCTACAGCTACTGCGTAGCTTTTTGTAGCCTTTTGTAGCTCTTTTTTTTGGGGGGAAAATCTTAGTTTCGTGTTCAGGCGCTACTTGCCTCTAAGTGTTTGATGCTAGCATCAAGTCTTCTTCGCGGAATGCAGAGTCTTTTTTTTGGGGGGGGGGGTTCCCAGCCCATTCAGGATACTTTTCGCCCCAATTTCTTCAGTTTCGAAGTTTTCTGGGCATATTTTGGGTTTTCCTGGCACCTGCTTTGCCCTGTGCACTGGGGCCCCCGGCCGGTGCTCTCCGGTGCTGGGTCTGGTCTTTGACCTTTACCACCCCGTAGCAGACCTTTTTCAACGAGTTTTTGCTCGCGAGCAGCTCCGATGAAGAGAGCCGTGAGAAATGGATCCGGCGACCAAAAAGTATGAGCGCGTTTCTTGGGTTCGTACGAGGTAAAGGGCACCGGGTTACGGCGGATATGGAACCCACCAGTTTTGCAATGCTAAATCCCCTGTTTTGTGACATTCTTTCGCTGGCCCGTGTAACAGACCTTTCTCGTCGACTTTATGCTCACGTTCAGCTCCGATGAGGAGATTTGTGCAAAATGGACCCAGGGAACCCACAGTATGTGCGTGGTTCGTTGAGGCTTTCCGACGTTCAGGGCACCAGGCATGAAAACTACACCGCGGAATGCAAAACTCTGCATCACAGAATCACGCCAAAACGGTCAAAACTACCAGTGCAATAGTGTTTTTTTTTTTTTTGAAGTATAGAGCTCACTAGGACAACAAACGGAGGCTGGGCCTTAGCCTTTTGAGAGGGAAACATCGGGAACATGAATGTACCTGGCCATCCTTTAGCTCCGTTAGGTCTTTCGTTTTTCTTGGGGGTGGTTTCCTCCCCGTGTGTCGCCTCTTGCTGTGGTTTGCTTGGGGCTTCTCTGCTGTTTTCGTGCGGTTCTGCCCCAGCATTCTCGTTTTTCGCACGAGCGCTGCGGCGGAGTGGGGAGGAAGTGATGGATGTAAGAGAAGGAATGTGAAAACGGGAAAAAGGAGTAGATAAGAGGAAAAAGAAGGAATGTTTAAATGATGATGGGATGATGAGGCGTAGAGGAGGGTGTGAAGGGTAGAGCAATACAGGGATTTATACGCCGGTCTAGATGGGCGGGTCACCCGTCCATCCTCAAAAAAAAAAAAAAAAGGCGGAACATTTTCTTTTGGGAACCCCACCGATCACCACAAGCACGCACTAAGCTGAACTTCACAAGCATCCAAAAGGTCGAAAGACACCAATCTGTACGTCCATTCGGATCGTCGGAAACACAAAAACCCACGGGCTGGCGGGTGTGGGTAGGCTACCACAGCTGTCATAGGGGGTCATGGGGGGGCCCATAGGGGGTCCATAGGGGGGTCATGGGGGGGTCCATAGGGGGTCCCAGGGGGGTCATAGGGGGGGGGGGGGTCATGGAGGCGAGCAAGCGGCCCAACCCGGCGAGACACAGCCGAACTTCCAACCGCAGTGGTGGATTCTATCACGCCCAACTCAGGATGGGGCCGGGACAATGCCGGGGAAAAGGAAGGACATGCTAGGGCAACATACGTTGTTCAGCTCCTGGAACATTATTGAAGTTCGCAAAGGCTTCGGTGTACTTCGATGCCGTGTCGGCGGTCCTCGCAAAGAGAGAGCAGTTGGCACGACGCCCCATGCCCTTATTCTCCAACTCTTCCTTGTAATCCAACTGCTGTGTTTTCCCCCTCACGCGCCCTTTGCCGGACAACTGCTGGTTCTCCCACCTCTCTGCTGCACCCTCCACCCTCTGGAACATCTGGCTCGGAATCTATACACGGTGCGCAGTGATGCACGGTGATGCACAGTGATCCACGCTAGTGCGGTGTGCACAGTGACACGATAGCGCATGGTGGTGCATAGTGATCCACAGTGGAGGACAGTGGTGGCACTAATTTTCGGGCCCTCAACGACTTTGCAGGGCTGGCTGGGGTGGCTGGACAGGCTGGACCACCACTGGGGGGGGAAAATCTTAGTTTAATGTTTAGGCAGAGCACTGCCTCTCATGCATGGTTGATGCTAGCATCAAGTCTTCTTCGAGGAAGATGTCGTCTAGGAAAGGGATGCAAAATAGAAAATAGAAAGTTGTAAAGAGGGGAGTGTACGGCTCCCAAAGTGGGGAATGAAACCTTGAGGGACTAGCCCCCTGTATTTTTTTCACCGCGGTGTTGTGTGCACCTCGTTCTTCGTCTCATGTTTCGCTCTTGAACGCAGACCAATCCAAAGTCAGAGCTCATCAGTGGGTCCTTTGGATGGGGATTTTCAGTCCTGTTCCGGTGCGAGCACAACTTGGTTTCATGTGTTTTCCTTCCTTCATTCGTTTTTTTAAAAAAAGGGGGGTTTTGGATGGGATTGTGGCTCGTAACCAACCGCCACGGGGCACTACTTTCAAGGGTTGAAAGTGTTCAAGCTCTCTCCAGGGAAACGATGTAGCCGTTTGTTGTAAACTTGACAGCACATTCTTCCCATGAGAGAAGGGACACTTGCTGGTCGTCGTAACACACCCAGTCGTCGTTTTCTCGCAGCACGGTGTAGTAGTGTCCAGCTTGCACTTTCCCTGTGTGGACGATGAAGCCAGTTACTCTGTAAGTGTCTTCCCCGATCGTGATGGCTGGTTGAATGGGCGTGCGGACTTTTAGCTTTATTTCTTCGCCTGTTCTCTTCGACCGTTGGGCTCGCTTAAGAGCCACATCCATCACACTTGGGAAAACGTAGAGCTCTTTTGTGGAGCCCTCCGTTCTTCGGTGGCATGTATCGCAGTCGACGTCGGGGATACGGGTTGCCTTCTTGTTCTTCACTTTCCGTACAAGAACTTCAAGTGGTTCGGTGTAGGCTTTTTCTCTGTTCTTCAGCTCAACAAGGAGGAATGGCTCCAGTGCTGGTGCCGCTGTGTTGGATCCTCCGCATTCGAAGCAGGTCGTCAGTCGGGTGTAGGTCACCGTCGTCGGATCGTCGTCGTCACCCCTTACGCAACTTCTGATCCACGTCAGCCTGACGTCAGGAGTTCGTGAGCATCCCGGTGCTGGGAGTCATCGTCTGTCGTGTCAAACACGAGACTTCGGATTGTGGCCATCGAGCTGTGAATGTCGCGACCAGCGTCAAAGTCCGTAAAGAGTTTACGAACTATAAGCTGCTCTTCATTCGGGTGTTGGAGGGCTGCAAGCTGTGTCCGGAAGCTCGGCTTGCGGGCCAGAAACTGAACGCTTGCGGCGAAGAAACAGCTATTCCGAATGTTGTTTATGCCGCGCGCATGTGGGTCCGGCGGATTGGTTGCGATGGGTGCGGTGGTGGTGAACCTCTTGGGGTCGTGTGGTGGAACACTTTTGGGAGGGCTCGGTGATTCCGGCGGAGCGGCGGGTTGTGGTGCGCGAATGCCGATGAAGCGCTTCTCTACGTTGGTGGGGCGTCCCTCGTCGTATGCCTTTCCGACATAGTAGTAGAAACGCGACAAGACCCGGGCATCCAGTTCGTACTTTCCGTACGTTTGCGTGACGAAAGTGTCGAACACGTGCCGGAGTTCGCGTCCAGAGAACCCTCGGTTTCGCAGTCTGTAATATACCTTCATGATCTCGACCTTGAGGTCTGGCATGTTGTTACAGATGCGGGCAGCTCGAATTAGGGCTCCTTTGAAAATGGACGTTCCAGTGTTGCGCGGAACGGTTGACTCGGCATGCGTGTACTTGATCGGGTACCACGGAAACTCTTCGCCCTTGTCGAGGACGGAAAGCCGGATGTAGTCCGTTTTGATATCCCTTTCAGCCCTGATCCGCATTCCCAGAAAAACCACGTCGTCTACACCTTTCGACGTTTCTGAGTATTCCATGCCGTAGATCGCCTCCGGTGGGGGTCGAACCCCCCACGTCAGGAAGTCGTCGATGAATCTGACGCTGTCGGCGTGGGCTCTGGCCTCTTCATGGCGTCCTTCCGCGATCAGGCTGTCGATGTACAGCTTCTCACACCAGTAACAATACAGGTTGGCCAGGTCCGGGCTCGCATTGCCGCCCATCGGGATTCCTGTTACT